ATATCCAGTTCTAACTGTTGCTTCCTGTCCTACATATAGGTTTTTCAGGAGACAGGTAAGGTGGTCAGGCACTCCCATTTCTTGAAGAACTTGCTATAGTTTGCTGTGGTCCACACAGTCAAAAGCTTTGCGTAGTAAATGAAGCAGAAGTAGATGTTTTTCTGGAACTCTTTGACTTTCTCCATAATCCAGCGCATGTTAGCAATTTGGTCTCTAGTTCCTCTACCCCTTCGAAATCTAGCTTGTACTTTTGGGTGTTCTTAGTCCACATACTGCTGAAGCCTGCTTTGGAGGATTTTAAACATAACCTTGCTACTGTGTGAAATTACTGCAATTGTACGGTAGTTGGAGCATTCTTTGGCACTGTCTTTCTTTGGGATTGGGATGTAGACTGATCTTTTCCAATCCTCTGGCCACTGTTGGGTTTTCCAAACTTGCTGGCATATTGAATGTAGCACCTTAATGGCATTATCTTTTAAGATTTTAAATAGTTCCACTGGAATGCCATCACCTCCACTGTCATTGTCGTTAGCCATGCTTTCTAAGGCCCACTTGACTTCACTCTCCAGGATGTTTGGCTCACCACAATATCTGGGCTGTATGGGACATCCATATCTTTCTGGCTTAATTCCTCTGTGTATTCTTGCCACCTCTTCTTGATGTCTTCTGCTTCAGTAAGGTCCGTACCATTTTTGTCTTTTATCATGTCCATCTTTGCATAAAATGTTCCTTTAATATCTCTAATTTTCTTGAACAGATCTCTGGTTTTTCCTTTTCTCTTATTTTCCTCTATTTCTTTGCATTGTTCATTTAAGAAGGCCCTCTTGTCTCTCCTTGCTATTCTTTGGAAGTCCACATTAAATTTTCTGTAACTTTCCCTATCTCCCTTACATTTTGCTTCCCTTCTCCTCTCTGCTATTTCTAAGGCCTCGTTGGACAGCCACTTTGCATTTTCTTTTCTTTAGGATGGTTTTTGTTGCGTCCTCCTGTACAATGTTACCAGCCTCCATCCATAGTTCTTCAGGAACTCCGTCCACCAAATCGATTTCCTTAAATCTCTTCTTCACTTCCACTGTGTATTCATGAGGGATTTGGTTTAGATTATACCTGACTAGCCCAGTGGTTTTTCCTACTCTCTTCAGTTTGAGCTTGAATTTTGCTATAAGAAGCTGATGATCAGAGCCACAATCAGCTCCAGGTCTTGTTTTTGCTGACTGTGTAGAGCTTCTCCATCTTTGGCTGCAGAGAATATAATCAATCTGATTTCGGTATTGCCCATCTAGTGATGTCCATGTATAGAGTCACCTCTTGTGTTGTTGGAAAAGAGTGTTTGTGATGACGAGCATGATCTCTTGACAAAACTCTATTAGCCTTTGCCCTGCTTTGTTTTGAACTCCAAGGCAAAACTTACCTTCCTTTTATCTCTTGATTTCCTACTTTAGCATTGGTGTCCCCTAGAATGAGAAGAACATCTTTCTTTGGTGTTGGTTCTACAAAGTGTTGTAAGTCTTCACAGAATTGGTCGGTTTCAGCCTCTTTGGCATTGGTGGTTGGTTCAAAAAGCTGGATTACTGTGATGTTGAAAGGTCTGCTTTGGATTCGTATTGAAATCATTCTACCATTTTTGAGATTGTACTGCAGATTTCCCCACTCTTTTGTTGACTATGAGGGCTGCTCCATTCCTTCTACGGGATTCTTGCCCACAATAGTAGATATGGTAATCCTCTGAATTGAATTTGCCCATTCCTGTCCATTTTAGTTCACTGACGCCCAGGATGTCAAGGTCTATTCTTGCCAACTTTCATAGATCTTACATTCCAGGTTCCTATGCAGTATTTTTCTTTGCAGTATCGGACTTTCCTTTCACTCCCAGGCACGTCCACAGCTGAGCGTCCTTTCAGCTTTGGCCCAACCACTTCATTAGCTCTGGAGCTACTTGTACTTTTCCTCTGCTCTTCTTCAGTAGCATGTTGAATGCCTTCCGACCTGAGGGCCCATCTTCCAGTGTCATATCTTTTAGCCTTTTGTTTCTGTTCATGGAGTTTTCTTGGCAAAGATACTGGAGTGGCTTGCCAGTTCCTCCTTCAGGTGCATCGCGTTTAATCAGAACTCTCCACTATGACCTGTCCATCTTGGGTGTCCCTGCACAGCCTAGCCCATAGAGTCTCTCAGTTACTCAAGCCCCTTCGCCACAGCAAGAAAGCGATCCATGAAGGAGCCAATTCCATACTTTAAAAAAGCATGGAATTGGCCTTTTGCTAACCTCCGCTTTTTGCTAACCTCCATGCCTTCCCAAAAGGTGAGGGTTCGCTGGGTTTAGCAAAAAAGGAAGGAAAGCCATTGCTCCCTTTCCTTTGCTAACGAGGCGGGAAGAGGCACCTCAGCATTTGCCTTCTAATGCCTCCACCATTGGAGGGGACAAGGCAGAGGTGATTGGGAAGGTGGCGGGAGGCAGCAGCCAGAGGCACCGGATTGCATGTGAATGCTCCTTCGCCTATGACTCCTGCTGTATCCGCCCCTGGAGGGGACAAGGCAGAGACTGAGCTGAGCCCCTCAGTCTCACTGAAGGTGGTGATCGGGCAGGCGGGGGGGAGCCAGGCATCAAGAGGCACCAGAGCACACATGAATGCTCCTTTGCCTCCGTCTCTGCCTCCTCCTGCAGCTTCTGCCTCAGCCATGGAGGGGACAAGCCGTGAGCTCTGAAAGAGGCAATTGGGTGACAGCGGCGGCAGCAAGAGGCGTTCAAGCACACACGTGTGACTTCTTCCTTCCATTTATATGATGACTGCAGAGCACACTTCCAGCCTGGTTTCCTCGACTGGGGAGGATGTTGGCGATCTGGGTGTGGAGCGAATCTCAGAAAGCTTTAGACGGACCTTCCCAAGCTGTTGCCAATGGGGCCCCTCAAACCTTGAGCGGGAGGAGGCAAAACTCAGGGGAGACCCCGTGACTTTCTCTCCTCCCCTTTTTTTGCACTGACAGGTGGAGGGAGGATGCAGGGGAGAGGTGGGGTCTCCTAGAAGGAAAACTCAGCAGGAGCACTGGTCACCCACCCAGATGCCTTGCACAGAGGGGACATTGGGGGAACGCATTGTCTCTCTGTTCCTTGAGGGTCAAATCTTGACACACACACCCCGCTCATCCACCCAGACACCCCAGGTCTTCCTTGAATGTCCCCAAACGGGGAAGTCTTTTTAAAGAAAAGGGTTAGGGAGGATTTATATAACAATCTAGGAACGGCGGGACTGGAAG